AACAGCAGGATCTGGCTGGGGTGTCCGCCAAGGCAATTGAAAGCGCTGATGCGTTAAGGGTGCTCAGGGCACGGGGCACTGTGACCTCCTCTTTGGAATGTTTGTGAGGCTGTTTGTGCAGTGAAAACAGGAAGGCCATGCCATCTGGTCATTCCTCCCCTCTGCTACCCTCACCACCCCTCGCTCCAGAAGTGCAGGGACCTTCCCAGGATGGCCTGGAGCAGCCCCTCGCCTGTGTGCCCCTGCCCGGGCATCCCTCTTCGCCGTTATTGAAATACGGCCAGGAAGGTTCTTGTCCCCATTTTACAGACAAGACACTTGAGGCAGACCCAGCCTCCCCGTGGCTGGTCCACATCTGAGCCATGGAAGCGGCCGGGACTTGGGCACGGGAGAGGCGAGGGAACCAGGCCAGGACTCACCGTGTAGACAGCTTCCGCTGCAGGCCGAGTCGAGGCGCCGGCAGGTCTCGGGTCTGAGCGTTTCCCTGGAGCCCCCATCTGTTTCTGTGTGGAGAAAGCAGCCGGGACCCTCAGGACTTGGCCACAGAACCGATCCAGCCGGGCCAGCTGTCCAGGCCCACTCTGCTCTGGCCCTCGCTGGCTCTGCCCTGGGGCCACTGGGCCTCTCTGGGCCCTGTTTCAACACCAACTCCAAGGACTGGACAGGGGGACCCGGGTGCAGGTGCTCCACACTCGGGCACTTAGGAGCCCCTGGCTCAGGCAGCACAAAGAGGCGGACAGCATCTGTGCCCTCCTGGTGTTCAGGTCCAGTGCGACGGAGTATGAATTAGTTTTCCTCAAATGCGGTGCGTGCACTGCCGGCGTGCGAGGAGCACGCTGGGGGGAAGGTCACAGATGAAACCTGCCCGCTGGAGTTCACTTAGCCAGAGTGGGAGGCAGGGCTCCAGGCAGAGGGACTCAGCGTGGCCAGCGAGAGGCGACCCTGCCCGCGAGAGGGCCGGACAACCAGAGGGCTTCAAGTGGGAGGTGCCCACGTCACCGCACAGGGTTTGAAGGCTCCGAGGGGCTTCTGCGTGGAGCACTCATGAAAGTCGCATTGCCTGCTGGGAGGGCGGCAGTCAGGCACACAGGCGGCTCCTCGCCCGGCAGGGAGAGGCGTGGGGACGTCCCCCCTCATCGCAGGCACCAACCCTGCCTATGGCAGAGCGACCACAGCCTCGTCTCAGGCCAGAGCTAATTACAAACCCTGGCCACCTGCCAGTCCCCAGCCCATTCACTCAGGATTAGCGCTCAGCTCTCAGGCAGGAGCCAGCACCACCCCGGTGCCGGCGTCATCATCACGGCCCAGCCCGTGCAGCCTGGTAGGTCTCTGGACACGCAGCCGGCAGCCTCTCTGCTCTGCACACCGGGAGCGAAGGCTCAGAGGAGGCAGGGCGCTTGCGGAGGCCAGATCCGAAGTCAGGGCTGCGCCCTGCCGGGGGGTTCTGCCCCTCCCTCTGGGGAGCAGGGGTAGGTCTCTGGCCTCCGTGTAGACACACAGACAGTGCTGGAGTCCATGTGGCACTTCTCAGTGGGACTGTCTTCATCTACTTCTCACAAAGGCCAGAGAAGGTGGGCATGGAAGCGCTCATTTCACAGAAGGGGAAACTGAGGCTTGCCCTAGTTAGTAAACGATGCCTGGGGCAGCCCACAGCCCCGTCCTTACACCCAGGGCCGCCTCCCCTGCCACCACCTGCTTCTTAAGGGTCGCATCACAATCAGAACCTCTAGGCTCACCCGGGACACCCTACGCCTCCTCTTACAGAGACAGCTTGGGTCCTGGGGGGCCTCAGCAGCACGGAAGCCCAGCGTGGGGCAGGCACAGAGCAGCACGGGGGCTCGGGAGCCTGAGATGGGGCAGGGCAGGACTGCAGACACAGGCCAGGGTGCGAGGCCTGGCGGATGAGGGCAGGGCTTGCAAGGACAGGGGTGTGGGGTGAGAGAGGAGCCAACACTTGGAGGGCAAATGCCCTCTGGAGCAAATGCCACTGAGGCCTTGGGGACTCGAGCCCGCTCTCATACCTCAGGTGTGCAGTGGGAGGAGGAGGGGCCCGCGGTGTCAAATGTCAGGAGAGGATGGGGCAGGCTGGCAGGACAGTGCCCGCCCCAGGAGGGCCGCTTGACCCCTGGACCTGCTCCAGGCAGGGTCCAGCAGGCAGCCCGGACCTGCATCCGCATGCCAGCCCCTCCTTCCGCAGCCCCCATGGTGCAGCTCTGCTCAGCACAGAGGAGCCCAGCACCCTGGCCAAGCTGGAAGTTGGAAAGGGGTGGAGCCTAAGCCCCCTCTGCCGGCCACTCCTTCCTTTCTCCCCACGTGCTGCCTGCGTTCCTAGCCCCACTCTGCAGGGCCTGGTGCACACAGTGGCCCTCAGCCAATATCTACTCAAGGAAGGAACACACGGATTTAATAACAGGCATGAAAGGGCTGTGCCAGCTCTAAGCCCAGCAGCAAGTGCTTCTTGAGGGCCTACTATGTGCAGAGCCTTGTGCCGGAGCCTGGG